GGTGCGCTGCAGCAACGACACCAGGGGCAGAAAAAGTGAAATCAGCCGGTCCTCCACTGTCCAGCACGGCGCAGGACTGTCGACTGGCAATGTAAACTCTGTCTGCTTCTCTCGCCAACTCGCGGAAATCTGTAATTGGGGAGCTTGCTAGGGCTGAGCAAACGGGAGCCGGCATCCGCTGTATAAATAGCTCACGAAAAATAAAACAGGGCTGATGTCTGCCTAGCAAAGACAGCATGTGGTCCATAAGTTCGGATGGATTCTGATCTCCCAAAGAGGGCAAGGCGAGAAGCCGACGTGCCCGCTCCGGCTCTGACAACTCGAAAGTCGCTAGCAGCAGCGATTTAAAAGCCTCATACTTGCCGTCCGCTGGGGGATCCTGCAGAAAGCTCACCACCCGGGATGCTGTGGCATTGTCCAGTGCAGCAACAACATAATAGTATTTCGTGTCGTCCTACGTGATGTTACAGACGGTGAACTGGGCTTCAGCCTGTACGAACCACACAGCGGCATTTTCATGCCAGAAGTCTGGCAGCTTTAAAGCCACAGTGTTAGCTGTCATGCTGAGGGAAATCTCGAAACACGTACGAGGAGATGTCGGGGTCACCAATGTGGCGAGAGGAAAAAGACAGGAGGCAGATGCTTAGTCTGTGAAAGGGACGATGCACTTTTTTATTAACAACAAACAAAGAAGAGAGAGCAAGATCCGGTTGCCGCCAAGATAACCAAAAATTGTAACCGGAAGTTGAACAAGCCTTCAGAAGAAGAGCACATCTGCCTTGAGAATTCTGATTGCTTATGAACCCGCTACAATATTATCATATAACATTCTGCTTTCCTCTGTAGCTACATTGGGTGCTCTATAACAAACCCTGACAATTAGGCCATTTGAGTCTTTAGCATCCAGTTTTATCCATACAGCTTCTGTACTTTTATTTTTATCAGTGAGCTCCCTTGCCTGCAAGTTTTCTTTTACGTATACTGCAACACCACCTCCCTTCTTACCTATACGGTCTTTACGGAACAATGTGTAACCATCCATATTATATTCATCACCATCATTGTCACTCATCCATGTTTCAGTTATTCCTATAATGTCGTAAGTGTCCGATGAAATTAAAGCCTCTAAATCATTAATTTTGTTTCTAATACTCCTAGCATTTAAATACAGATCACAAATGGTAGGACTTTTACAGTGCCCACTTTTAATATTTATTTGGGCTTTCCGTCTCTCCCCACATAAATTCTTAACTGACCTCCCTGCCCCCCCAGTCCCTAGTTTAAACATTCCTCAACTACTCTACACATACACCTCCCCAATACACTGGTTCCCTATGGTTCAGATGCAACCTGTCCGGCTTGAACAGGTCCCACCTGTTCCAGAAGGTCTTCCAGTGCCCCATAAATCTGAACCCCTCTTTCCTACACCACCATTTTAGCCACACATTTAATCCCCTTATCTCAGCTAACTTGCACGTGGCACAGGGAGTATTCCAGAGAATACCACCGTGGATGTTCTGCTTCTAAGCTTATCCGCGACTTCTATAAATTTATCCTGCAGAACAGCCCTCCTGCCCTTTCCTATGTCATTGGTGCCAACATGCACCACGACCACTGGATCCACCCCAGCTGGGGCCAAAAGCCTGTCCACTGGATTCGGAAGGTCCCCTACCTGGGCACCAGGCAGACACTGTATTGGACCCTCTATCACGGGTGCACACATAACTGTCTACACCTCTGATAATTGAATCCCCTACTACCACAACCTCCCTCCTCCTGGGGGTAGGCGGCTCCTTGGTGCCCAAGGACCCACCGGCCTCCCCAGTCTCTTCCAGCTCTAAAGCTGGAAGCACCTGAAAGCGGTTAGACACCGACTGGCGACCGAGCAAAGCTCAGGAGCAACTGTCCAAAGCGTGCACTTGGCAGAGGAATTGAGAAATGTAGTGACTGATTGGAAGCTGGAGCGGCCCAATATGACCATACCAGTTTCCACAGATAATGCAGCAAATATTATGAATGCAGTCAATGAAACAGACGGACTGGGACCAAATATAGGCTGCTTTGCTCACACTGTAAACCTCGCAGCCCAGAAAGCACTGTCAATCAACGGGGTGTCCCGCGTCCTTTGGAAAGTTAGGAAAGTTGTCACCTTTTTCCACAAAAGCACCACTACCCACCAGGCACTGACTGTGAAACAAGAGATGCTAAATCTTCTTAAGCACAAGTTTATTCATGATGTTACAACTCGGTGGAACATAGCACATGACATGTTGGCACGATATGTAGAACAGCAACTTGCCATCTATTCTGCAAGTGAGTCACATGAACAAGGACATGGCATTGTTCAGTGACAATAAACAAAAATGGCAGAACAACTCATTGAAGTACTCACACCACTGAAAACTGTGACAACTCTCATGAGAAGTGAAACAAACCCCACCAAATCAATGATCCTCCCTCTGAAGGAAATGATTGTCAAATCCATGACACCACTCGCCTTGCAGCTGGCAATGTTGACAGGCTTATCTTCTTACAGAAGAATCCTATAATAGCAGAGGAATAAATACCTCATGCCCATAATGGCAATAATTGATAGTGCACTTTACAGTACATCTTGAATGTAGCCGATTCTGAAAGTATGTTTACTCTGACTACAGTGTTGTGTTTGGAGCACGTTAAGAATTGAGGTACTTTAACATTTTTTAAAGTGTTTTTGTTTCCATTTTGTAAGTTTGAATTTTATACATGTATACATATTTTACACATAAATAAGAGGCAGTTTATTATTTGTTTTGTTGTGTTATTATTTGTAGTGTTGTGTTTAAACTGAATCGAAACCGTGGCCCAAATACCGAGGTACCATCGGATACCTGTACTGTCGCACCCCGATTATCTAGTATAAGTTTTAAATAATCAGTCAAAAAAACAATCTAAAGTTAACTGCTACTGCATTTGCCAGAGCATTGCATGCAATCTCCAAGACAACCATAATCTTTCTCATCCTTGCTGTTAGACTCACACATAGATCGTGTGGGGCATTTTTGAGAAATTAAACTAAAATGTGTGGAGGAGAAAAACAAACAAGAACTGGGGCTTCATTTCTCATTCTTTGGCTGAATTTCATCATGAAAAAATGCATATGCAGGAAAAGAAAATTCTGGATTTATCAAAGCCTGCCTGTGCACATTTCACCTCAAAAATCTTGGAACTATCTTGTAAATGTGCAAATGTGCATATGTGCACAAGAATGAGATTCTGCTGCCAGTGGCTGCCCTCAGTTAACCAGCAAATTATTTTGCTGGTGTTTATTGTAAGTTTATTGTAAGTAACATTACCAGTGTTATGATTCACTGAGTTCGCTAATGTCAATGTTAGGTTAGCTGGACCATTATTTCACCATGTAATAATAATAATAATGAGTAGCAATGGAGAATTTCGTCACGTTCTTTAAAACTGTAAAATCTAACTTACCTTTAGCTAGTTAAATCTAGCTTTCTCTCACTTCTGTTTTATTCCTCTCTCCCTCTTATCAAGCACATACTGCTGACCATAGACATCTGACCGGGTTTGGTACGTGCATGAATGCATATCATCATGTTTCTACACTTCCTGTATCCTGCGTTTCAAAATCAATGTCCTCTGCAGAGTCATGCAATTGCTACTTAATGACATTTCATATAATTCTGAAGCAGTAGTAGCAATAATTTAGCAGTTTTAAAATGTATATTGCGGAAACAGTGAAATAATAACCCAGCAAAATGAATGCAGCCATTGTACATGGTTGACATTTTTATTCTGGATATTAAAATCCACAAAATAATATTAACTGCTGGCATACTTAATTATCTGTACATGCAAATTATGTGGTGAATTATACTGAATCTGATCACAGCATAGTTACTAACCTCAGTTTAGTGAGGCGTGTATCCAAAGAACAGTAAAACCTTGGATTGCGAGTTACTTGGTCTGCAAGTGTTTTGCAAGAAGAGCAAAAATTTGTAATAAATTTTAACTTGATAAATGAGCGAGGTCTTGCAATACGAGTATTATGTATACGCTTTGTATGCCGAGCGTCACGTGATCACAACTGTTCTGATGGTTCTTCTCTCTCTCATGCTTCAGGATTGTGGGTAATTGTTTCCCATGCTTGGTCTTAGTTGGCGTGCCTCACTCGTATAGTAAAAATTTTGTAGAAAAGCACCACCCAAATACAGTAAGGGTGTAGCAGTGCAAGCGATGAATCTGTTTAACGACAATGCAATGTCCACATTTCCGCGAAATTGAAAAGGAGGCAAAAGCAACTGTCATTGGATAGGTTCCTTGTTAAAGTCGTGCAAAAAGAAAAAGATTACAGTGATCCAACAGATAGCAGTGATTCCGTTAGTTATAGTGAAAGTCGTCCTGCAAAATAACCCTCCTCTTCTCCTCTATCTCGTCTCCCTCACACCATCCACAATTCTTTTCAAAGGTAAAGTGTAGGTTAATTTGTTCTATGTATTTTTATTTTACATTATATTTTGTATTAATCATTTTTATATGAATATTTTTGGGTTGTGGAACGAATCATCTAATTTTCCATTATTTCTAATGGGAAAATTGTCTTTGATATATGAGTGCTTTGGATTACAAGCAGGTTTCCGGAACAAATTATGCTCCCAAACCAAGGTATCACTGTATTTGGAAGGCAAATATAAATATAACATGACAGATGAACACTGCAGATTCCATCCATTCTCTATAACTGCTTGTTTTATGCAGGGTCACACAAAGGGAGGGGGATAACCAAGGACAGGGCACTGACACTTTGCAGAACACTACACTGAATTATTTCAGTGAATCTTTTCTGGTTTGAGCACTGCCTAGCAGTGTGTCAGATTGTCAGATTTTTAAGTTTGAGTCCAAGTGTGAGTTATCACTGTATCCTGTCTATGTCCGAGTTGCAAGCGTATCAAGCCTGAGCTAGCGTCACAGAAACTGCAATTTAAGTCCGAGTTCCTTACCTCCTGGCACCCTGAAAGCTCCACTGGAAGAAAATATGGTGTAGAGGATGACAGAAATGGTGAGCAAACCCATGATGATGTCTCCTGAAGGATGAGGAGGTAGAGGGTAGTTAATTTCCTGATTAAATTTAGGTCTGTGCTTCACTAATCAAACTAGCAATACAAGAATAATGAGCTAAAGTTGATAAAGTACCTTCAACAATTAGTAAGTACAACTGTACTCAATGGAAAGTTCTAGATGAAAACAGGGGCACCCAAGGTCTCCCTCTTCTGTAGATTTATCTGTTCAGTAAGGATTTATATAGTTTACAGATTGAGCAGGAAATATTTTAAAAAGGGGGAAGGTTTGTGATGTGATGAGCTAGTTTACACTTTCTTCACACATTTTCAAAAAGATGCTATCAGACGTTCCTGGTAACCACTTCACAAGTCAACTCACACGCCTTGCTCTAATGAACATTCATCATGACATCAAAACCAAAATTAACAGTGAGAAAGTGCTAAAAGAAATTACAAGAAATTTAAGAAGCTTATTTAATTACAAGTACAAAAAGGAATTGCAGCAATGATGTTTTTATATGTAATTATTATATGTATATATTCTTATAAATAATGTGTCAGATGTACCTTATTATTATTTGTTATTATTATTATTATTATGATTATGTTATATACCCATTTGGTCTATTTGTTGAGTGGAGGGGTAAATTAGTTGTGTGCGCACTTACATACTCACCCGTAGAACAGAACCTGTCTACTCACACTAGGTAAAGTAGGCGGGCGCCAAGTTTTAAAGGGTCAGTTAGCTTAGTTAGCTAGGTTTGGGAATTAGACAGTTAAACGATCTAGGGTAAGCATTGTTTGTTTATTTCTTTGATTTAGCGTCGCCTTCTACTCCTCCACAAGATACCGTTAATGTGGGTTTATACAGAATAAAAGATTATATGTATACAACCTCTCGTATCCTGTGGGGTATTTGGGCTTGTTAATTGCTGCCTTTGCACATTTGGTAAATTGGTCCCACGTACTCATGTTCGCTATCCTGCCCTAGATCAGGGAGTGCGTAACAATCATATAACTGGAACATCCAGGTAATGAGGAGCTTGGCCACCTTCTTCGCCGACGGGAACCTGGTAAGGGGAACGAGGCCGTACATCTTAGAGAACCAGTCTATCATGGTAAATATTACAGTTTTGCTCAGGGAAATCGAGAGATCGGTCATAAAGTCCAAGTGACAAGGGACCATGGAAGGAACAGTACCGGGAGTGGTTGAATTAGGCCAGCCAGGGGTGCACATTCAGGACATTCCTGGGTGTTCTGTGCTGTGAGACATGTGAACCCATTGCAATGTGGCCGTGCGGTGTTTATCAGCAACAAAAGTCTTACCAGTTGGGCAAGTAGGTGGTGGTGGTTGTTACTGGTTTGCCACTTGTACGGTCTTGTCCAGGTCCCACACTACCAGCCCCACAAAACACGAAGGAGGGAGGACCTACCCCAGGCTCTCCTTGGCTTCCAAGGGGTCATACTGATGAGAGAGGACGTCAGCCCTCTACTTCTTCGCACCAGGCAGGTAAGATACCCTGAAATCAAAATGCGTGAAGGACAGGGACCATCGAGCTTGGAGGGGGATACAACATGAATGCAGATAGAAATTCCTCTGAGTACTCATCTGTGTGTATGACAGTGGACGGAGACATCTATGTTTGCAAGGGAAAATTCTTTTCCACTGAGACAGTAGCTCCAGAATAACTGTCTCGGGCAGCACAGTGACTCTTGGGGTCGCTTGTTGCCACACAGTACCAGAGTCTGAATTGACCTCGGCATGTATTATTGCTCTGGTTTCCTCCTGAACTCCAAAGACGTGCAGGTATGCTGATGGATGACTCCAAATTGTCTGTGGCGTATAATTGTGTGCGTGCTTCTGTGTGCCATGTGATGATCTGCTAACTTGTGCTGGAGGGGATTGGCTCCACCCCCACAGCATGCCCCTCCCCCCATCCTTCTCAATCCCAAAGGGGATTATCAGCTGGAAGAGATGTATGTTTGTGCCCTTTCTGTGTGTGTTTATGTATATACTGGTCCCCACAATGTGACAAAAACCTGTTGTTTTAATTTTGCAGGGACAATGTGTGGACAATAAAAATGTGAATACAATCAAAAAACCAAAAATGCTGAAAGACTCTTTTGTTTTGTTTGGTTTCTTATGGTTAAGGTTAGGGCTGGGTAGGGGTTAAGGTTCTCACAGTTGAGATTGGGGTTATGCCCATAGAATGGCATAATGGATAATAACAATGGAAAGTCCCTACAGAGATATAGATGCCTAATCTGTGTGTGTGTGTGTGTGTGTGTGCGTCATGTGCATGCGTGTGTGTTTGTGTTTTTGTTCATTTGCTCAGGTTAGAAGCGTGATGAAAGATTTTGTTGATCAATAAAAATGAGGAAATCCCAAGAACTGTTGTAATTCCTTTACCGTATGGGGAAGGGGCCATTCCCAGACCACTTTGACTTTCTCATCATCCATCGCTACCGATGCAGACTGGATGATGTATCCCAGGAACTTCGTTGTCCAGCAGTGGAACTCACATTTCTCCCCCTTCATGTAAAGGTGATGATCACGTAATCTCTGGAGAACCGCACAGAAATGGTGGATATGCCGCTCAGGAGAGGAATATTAGATGAGGGTGCCACCAATATAAAAATTACACAATAGTTCAGCAATCCGGAAGGACCTTAGTCATGAAGGACTGGAAAATTGAGGGGTGATTAGCTAAACCCTAAGGCATGTCCAGATACTCATATTGATCTATGTGTGTGATAACAAATGTTTTCCACTCATCTCCCTTGCAGATCCAGATCGGATTGTATGCACTGCACAGGTCGAGCTTAGTAAAAATAACAGCTTTATGAAGTTTCTTCAGTGCAGATCAAATGAGGGGGAAGGGCTTCCTGCACTTCTCAGTAATCTCGTTCAAAGCGCGGTAATCCACACATGGACCACCCCCCATCTTTTTTCTTAACAAAAAGAAAAAACAGAAGTCATAGGTGAAATGGACAGCTGAATGATACGCTGTTTTAGGCCCTCCACTATGTAGACCTCCATAGCCTCTTCTTCAGGGATTGAGAGGGAAAACAAGTGGCCCTTGGGAAGGGGCACTTCCTCCAAGAGGTTGACGACATAGTCACACGCCAGGTGAGGAGGGAAACGCTGCCTTGCTGATCATATCCAGATAGTCCTGATACTCCGTGGGGATCACGGTCAACTCCTCTGGCTCCGGGCTATCTATAGAAACTAGAAACTAGACTATACTACGGACAGGCACTGAGACATCAGGATGATGACCAAGACAACAACTCCCTCGATTGCCAGACGATCTGTGGATTATCTTCACGCAGCCAAGGGTGTCCCAATATGACCGAATCAGAGGTAGACGGTATTACAAACAACTGCATTTGGGCGGTGGGTGATTTTCCCTGATGATAGGGGTTTCCCATTGACCCTACACACTGCTAATGGAGTCTGTAACGTCTACAGCGGGAAGCCTAAACAAATTACTATGGAGTGACTGATGGATTTTCCTACCACTCTGGAGTCCAACAAGGCCTTGCAAAAGGTTCCCTCAAAAGTACTAAAGACAGGCAACGCTACCTGGGCCTGAGTTATATTTAGAAAAACAGAGAGCCCGACCTTGACAGGGTCTGCCTGGCATCAGGGTCCTACTGGGCCATCCTGGAGAAGGTGCTGGGGTTGCCCACAGTAGAGGCAGAGATGAAGCGGTTTCTCTGACAAGAGGGTGATGCGACCATGCTGCATTGGCTCTGATTTTTCTGCTTGTGAAGTAGCGGCTGAGGCCTGGGTTTCCATAAAGAATGCTGGTGGTGGCGATTGTGGATCTTCGCATCCAGGTTGATGGACAGCCACACATACTCATCGAATGGTAGCATCTCCCCACATCTTTCAATTCTGGGTGCAGCAGTGCAGCACCTTAAGGCAGTCATCTGGCCATCGGAGACTCGTCGCGATCATCCAGAATTCATGAAAAAAGTTTTTCATGCCCTGCCGGAGTTCGGAGTGGCGGTGCCCAAGGCTGCTTTGCATGGCAGGGTGATCAAAAACCTCCTGGAAAGCATGCTGGAAATCCACCACTGAGTCAAGAAGCCGGCTGTCCTATATCCAGTGAGTGGTGGCCCATTCACCGGCTCTACTGGTTAGCACACCCTCCCAGGATCCTTGTGGAAGTTGACAGGGTGGTCGTTCATGTAGAGCCTGCACTGCATGAGGAATATCCGACAATGCTCTGGGTTGCCATCGTATTTGTCCGGCAGTGTGACCGAAACCGAAGCAGCCATATGAGGGGGCGAGACAGGGAAAACGCTCTGTGAAGCTTGACCCTGCAGCAGCTGAAAGACCAGCATGGTTAGATGACAAAAGACAAAGTTAGAGTAACACTTAGTATGGCTTTTTGGGCAATGAGACAGCTCTCAGGAGCTGCTTCCTTTTATATTGCTGAAGGGGTGGGGAGCCAATTTCCTGCTACTGTGTGTTTCCCACTCCTCTGGGTGTGATACCTCCCTCTCACCAGCCACCTATTCCAGTTCTACCGAGGGAATGCCAAGGTGTTACCAGGCCAGCCAAAACATGTAATCCCTCCAGCACGTCTTGGGTCTGCCCCGGGGCCTCCTGGTTGGATATGCCCAAAACACCTCAATTGGCTCTTTTTAACCCTCTGGAGTCGACGGCATCATTCGATCATTCGAGGTAACGAGTCGATGCTGAGTATCTTTCTTGTGTATTTCAGTTCATAACTCACTGATATCTTATTATAGAAACATGAAAAAAAAAACGCTGACTAAATCTGTAATCTGTCTTCTTTTCAAAACGTCCATTTTTGGAAGTATTAAAGTTTTTAAAATTAGGTTAAATCGGCAAAAAAGTAAACCATGTTTTACCTGCATCGGGGGCGTGTAGTATCACTGTCACCCAAAGATCGCTATTCACATTCTAAATAGCCGCATTAGCATGGTAATTTGATGAACAGCGCAATGGTGAAACGCGATCCAGATACATTCCCATCAGCGCCATAAAAGGGGGAGGGGGAATGTGGCCAGATGTCAATGGCTCATTCAGTTGCTGTCACGCCCAGCTCTGTACGATCCTCGTGTGTGCCACGCCCACCTCGTTACCTCGTGTTATTTCCTAATTGTTATCACCTGTTTCCTATTTGATTTTGACTTGTCTTGTGTATTTAGTCCACGTCTGTGTTAGTATCCCCAGTCCGGTCATTG